TAAAACTATAAATATATATAAAATACATAGTACATCCAGAATTAAGAACAATACTAAAAAAAATACCTCTTTTGTGTTCATTCAGATTTGAATATGGCTATATCAGGTTCCACTTACATGTAAAATCAACCTGGTTTTACTACTCCAACACGCACACCATCAGGGTATCTATTTTTCCCTTGTTGGGTATCTGTTTGAGAACTTGGTCTTCATACAAAGGCCTGAAAGACACATGGATGAAAAAAGGAGAAATAGGTTAGGCTTTTTATTTAGAGGGTTTGCAACATTTCCTTTTAAAATATTACTTACAGGATGTTAAACTCCAGGCCGTTTGCATGGCTGGGCTCACACAATACACTTAAGCTGGTTATCAGAATAAATCATTTTCTGTGTTCCCAAAATACATTGAATGGTAAGATGACCAAATAGGCTAGGTTTCACAGAACACATTAAGGCACAAAAATGAACCCAGGTTAGCAGAAACCAAGCTTAGACAATCTCAAGAAAATGCATCTGCTAGGTCTTTAATGGAACTGTTTAAGTATGCTGAGCAAGGCCAGCTTATCTGTTGCCTGCCTACTACAGCATGCCAACAACTGTGATGTCAGAGAACAAGTAATCAGTGATGGAATGTAAAGGGTGTCATTTCCTTGGGGCCTGTAAGAAACCTCAATTTGGCTGAAATGTGGCTTTGAGGTGGGGGTTTTTTTAGCAAGAAGAAAGGGAGCAAACAAGGAAGATGTATAAACCAAATCTTACAAATATTTACTGAAAAATAACTTCCATCTGCCCCAATGGCAGAGGATAATGGGAAATATATCAGATTCAAAAAAATAAAAGAGAGCATATGTTCATCCCAGTGCTCACGCTTCTGTTCTTTCTCAACCTTGAGGGATAAGATCTGATTCTTGGTAACTACATGGACACATCCCTGGGCTAGTCTTTGGAGTAGCATACCAGAAGTCACATTTCCAAAAGTGGGTGGGACCAAGACAAAAACAAAATTTGATTTCATTTACCGTATACTTCAATGTAACTAAAATGAAACTAATTCAATAAACTTGGTACACTTGCTTCCCATGCAGTTAATAATTTCCCCATCTGTCACATTAAAAGCTACTGATTGGCTGCAGTCGTTGGGCTTTCAGGGATTTTAAGATTTCAGACTTTCTCTCTGAAATAAGCCCTCTGTGCCCCCCCCCCAAATATATATAATAGCTCAATGTTTTGATTCTTCCCATCGCTTTGGAATTTTATTTCTTAACCTCCAACCTCAAGAAGGGTTCTAGTGAACTCAAAATCATGGATATGACTTTGCAATCCTTAATTAATGTACTGTTTTAAGTGAACAACGTTAGCTCCCCCAAAGCTTGTTTCCTCTCTCCCTATTCTTAGTTGGTCAGGAGCTTTGCTGAGAGGAAGAATATGCTGAGATAGTTGGCCACCATCAACCAGCATTCCCTTGAAGTGAGGATCTGGATCGTGGGGTTCTAGTGACGCACCCTTCTAGCAGCAGTTTGTGGTGCCTGATCCAGGTCAACAGGCCAAGAAGCTCAGCTTGCCTAGTGGGCGAATCTATGGGTACTCAGGACACTCTTTCAGGGAAGCCCAAAGTTGGCATCAAGTAGGTAACAGATGGTGCTTTTTGGAAAAGCAGCAGGCAGGGAATGAACAACTCAGACCAGAGGCTGTGGTTGTGGTAGACTGCAAAGAGACTCTCTCTGGAAGTTCAAGCTACAGGGAAAAGAACACCCTCAGGCAATAGGTTGGGCAACCTTACCACTCCCCAAAGCCATCATTTACAAGATCTTTCAATTACCTCTTATTTAGGTCTTGCTAGTAGACCTCTGCCAGCCTGCAGATAATCTTTATTTTGAGTTTCAGAGGGGTAGCAAATGCTTCAAGCCTTCCATTAATATAATGAAAGAATAGGAAAATACAGAGAATCCTCTATTTGGAGGAGAATGTACCTGTTCTTTGAGAAGAGGATGTAGCTCAGCAGTAGAACATAAGTTAACAACAGAGACAATTCCAGAGTTAATTCTCTGGCATCTTCAGCTACAGCTGGGGGGAAAAAATGTCAGAAACCTCAAAACTGCTACCAGTATCAATGTAGAGAATACTGAGCTGGAAGGGCCAAGGATATATAGCAACTTCTGTTTAACTGACAATGCCAGGAATTTAGTCTAGGGTTTACTTCATGCAGAGTGGCTGCATTTGCAGAAGGTGCTTATTGATGACACCCATTTCCTGGGTTCTCATAGTTCACTAAACCATTAACTAATGAAAGGGTTGGATTCACACAACAATGCAAAGCTATGGACACACACATACATACCCAAAGTCAAAGCTAAAGTTAACACTAATGAAATGTTGCATGAATGCAGCTGCTAGATCCCTCAGTATGCAAACAGTCCCAAGATCAGAAGAATGTTTGAATTTATTTCCTACATTTATAATTTTCTTCAAGGAACCCAAGGTAGTATACCAGGAGCCATCCTTCCTTCCATCTTCACAACAACCCTGTGAGATAGAATAAGCCAAGAAAGAATGACCCAAGCCACCCAATGAGTTCCATGGTCAAATAGAGACTCAGATCCATATTTAACAACAAACCGCGTAATAGTTTAGCTCAATGTATATAAACTCTACAAACCGGCCATCTACCTTGCAACCTTATTCAACTTGGTGCCTCTGGCCTTTGTTGGATCTAAGCTCCCATAATTCTCAGCCATGTTGCTATGTTTCTATTCCTGAACTATTTATTCATACTGTTTTTAACACTACTGTAGAACACTACCTGCTGATCACACCCATAAGCCCACAGAGAAAATAGCATGAACTCATAAGTAGGGCAGGAAAGAATTATGGGTCAGGGTCCATGGTTTTACTGATCACCATTCTTCTTGGCAAGACAGGAAGGGAACCAGGGACAGAAGGAAGCAAATGATGAATCTCTGAACTGAAGAGACACATAGAAGCAAGGTATATGCTGTCTGAAATTCTCCCAGACATTCCAGTTCTTTAACAATGCTAACATGGATATTGGATAGGCCTGGATCAGCAGCCAGACTGCATGGGTCACTAGACAATAAGTCCAATTATCTGGATTTAAACTATGCTTCAAACAGAAAGCAAGAATAGAATACCAAAAGAAAATGTTCAGGTATTGATATACACACACTGTTGCATTTTGAACCCTGAATCACTTTGCTCCCACTTTACAGCTGGTGAGCACTAAGATGCTGTAGTAAGCTTTGTCATGATGAACTGGCAGCACGAATTATATCACCCTGGAAGGCGGTTAAAACTGAAGGGTAACTCTATGCATTATGCAGAGTGCTTTTCCCTTTCAAGTATCAAGCCACTGTATCCTCCCTGCCTGTTTCAAAAAAGGCCTGACAGACCATCTCTCCTAGTGATTAATGAACACATCAGCTCTTCTCCCTTTAGAAATTAAGCAGTTTCCAATCTCACTACCAGAAAACTGCTCCCTTTTTAATTCCTATTCCACTCTTATTCTTCTCCTCTTCTTCCTCCATTATCTCACTGCCTGTTTCCCCCAATATTAATTTGTTTCAAGCTTCACCAGGATTCAGAGTCCACCAACAAAAGAAAAAATTGTTTCTGAATACATGTAATACAGGTCTGTGTTTTCCATACCCAGGGATTGCATATTGCTTTAAGGTGCAATGCAAGTTTGTCTGATTTTGGTTTGCTGTGTTGTATGAATGCAATTACTATGATTTATATAGTTATAACCCTAACCAATCATGGGTTATTCTACAAACCATGGTTTAAAAGGCTTAAAGCAAACCATGGGTTAGCATGATGTGTCAGCCTAGCCCACAGGAGAAAGCAAAAGGCCTTTTAAATTCTATGGCTGCTCCTGCTTTTATCTTCTTCTCAGTGGACTAGAAAAGCAGAGAAAGCTAGCTGAGAGTCAAAGAATCAAATTCAGTTTGACACTGAGCATGTGGGTAGGAAAAGTCAAAAGGAAAGAAGTTTTTAAAAGTCAGCCAATAATATTTGTTTGAGCAAAACAAGTTACAGTACAGGGACCTTGCAACTATTTTTTGTTTACAATTAAAAGGTATGCCAGTGTATTTATTAGATGATTGACAATTAACGTGTATCAACTATCCTAAATGTAGAAGTACATAACTTCAACCTTAGGAGCTCTTGACTCATGGCAGCTTTTAGCTATTCTTACCATTGGGGGGGGGGGAGGAAGCAAAGAATATGCATGCAAACCTCCTATATCCTCTGTCCATTCCCCTAGCATTGTATTACTGATATACAAAAACTGAGATTCTCCTATCCCACTCACATATAGACACCATTCCTGGATAAAGTGCTGCCCAGAGTCACTTTTTGTGACATGGGTGACCGTACAAATTTGATAAATAAAATAAAATAAAAAACAGGCTATTTTCCCTATATATTACCTATCCTGCGTACTAGCAGAAGAGGAAACCTAAACAGCAAGAGCCAGTGCCAAATGTTAGGGTAGGGACACATAAAGGTAGCTAATCCATAGATTATGCCGGCCAACTGACCAATGTATTCTTAGCTTTGGAGTCCCAAAGGAAGCTTATATTCTTAAGGACTCTAGGCAAGAAGGTGCACAGTCTATGCTTTTCCAACAAAAACAAATCATTGTTTTCTTCCATGATGGCTAGAATCTTTTAAAGTCATTTTGAAAATGACTGGGATTTTTCTTTCAAAAAGTCCAATTCTTTACACAGTGCTTTGTACCAATAAATAAACCTAGACTTCTTTCTGATTTGAAATACAATCGCTTTTTAAATCCTTCTAGGAAGAATCTGCCCTCTTTTTCTTGCCTATAAGATTTCTGTCCAAGTTCCACACCTTCCACCAATATCTGATATTATCTCTGCATTTAGAGAAAATAGGAACCTAAAGGTTTTAAGACCCAGCATTTCTCATTTCAGAAATTCAACAACATGAATTGCATTAAAGCAGCAAGAAGCACGTTTACATCCTCCTCTCTGCTGTATTTATTGGCTTCAGACAAAGAATGAAATATGGCTAATATTCCTTGGGGCTGGTCCCCCCCTCCAGCTTAAACACACTTCCCCTTCCAACACTAATACCCTGATTACTCATCCCTGTACTGATTGGATTGAGAGGCAATTATAGCCAGAGTGTGAAGAAAAATAAAGACAGGCTCAAAACACCCTTATGAAT